TTGAAAACTGCTGTGCAAATAAGAAATCTCCTATGTGACAAAAAGTAAGTCAATGCACAGTTCTATTTACGATCGTCATTTCTCAAAGAATGGTACATTGGTGGGTCTGTGGGTCCCCCTAGGCAACCAAACAAAAGCAAATAATTGGTTGAGTTTAGAGGTTAGACATATGCTGTTGAATGAGTTTAGTTGATAGGTATTTTGTAACATCCAGACTCTACTGCATTAATTGCATTAAAAGACTTGCTACATACCCTAGTACATTGTCTTTGATTAATTTCAGTTATGTGATTGTAGTGGAACACGACTTGAGCGTTTTAGATTATCTATCAGATTTTATATGTGTACTTTACGGAGTTCCCGGTGCCTATGGTGTTGTCACTATGCCGTTCTCAGTCAGAGAAGGTAAGATGATAAAGATTGTGTATGCCCTATGCAATCTTGGATAATTTTCTATTTTATTCCCATAACTGTACATGCTCTGTTAGTGGAAATAAGTTGCATGCAATAGTTTTGCTTTTGTGGCCCTTCTGTTTATTGCATGGTAAGTCGGAATATGCAATAAATTGACAATTTTATTCCTAGCCCATACTTGGCAATATTGTTTGACCAACAAAACGCCTAATTGGTGATGATCTTGATACAAAGCAAGTTTTTTTACAAGATTAATGTCCCATATTAATAGGGATCATGCAATGAATTCTGGGAGTTTAACTCAAGTGGATGCATAATACTTCTGTAATAGTATAGATGTTGTAACGAATTGTTCGCCTATGATGAATTTATGTGGCTAGTGAGGTAGAGAACAGTTGTACTATGTCTGGTGAAACCCAAATGCACAATAATTTTACTGTAATTTTCGATGTCAGATGTAATAACGAATTTAATTCAGCATCTACCATCCATTTAGAAATCAGTTTGGACAAATTGTGTGGTGCTTTCTGACAATTTAAAAACTTAATTCACTCAGAATTTTTAATTTCAATTGTTTAATCTCCTCCTAGGTATTAACATTTTCCTTGATGGTTTTGTGCCGACTGAAAATCTACGTTTTCGTGAGTCGTCCCTCATCTTCAAAGTCTCTGAAACAGCCGATGAAGAAGAAATAAAGAAAATGTGTCGCTATAGATACCCAGAGATGACAAAAAAGTTAGGTAAGATATCATTGAGCAAGTTGTACGTTTTCATATTGGCATTAATGTTCTCAAAAATTCATTTTCTCAATCCATATAATTCCAGATAATAGTATTTTGAGATTTTGGTAACTTTATTATCGGGAGGTCTTTTCCCCCTATAATTTTTTGAATTATTTCAAAATTGCAAGCCAATCAGATTTATTTTTAAATTCCTCACATTTATTTTAGCTACAGAAATTTGATTGATCCCTATTCACAATGATGACAATATTGAAACTGATGAAAACACAAATGAGGGTTTCTGTTTACCAAGTCTGAGTGATGGGTAACTATATTTTAACTTGATTACTGGTGTACAACTAATAAAAAATACTAGCTATAAATATTGCATTCTCGGAACCATGCCATTGGTTTTGTCCAAGAGACTGCTCTGCGTAATGACCTCTGACCTCTGAATCACATCCAAGCTGTTTTAGCAAGTGATTTAGCTTCCCTCTAAATTACATATAATAATTTGCAGGTTTTTGTTTAATTTCCAAATGTCCTATCACTAGCAACCAGTGAACTATCGCTAGCAACCAGTGAGCTATCCCTAGCCACCAGTGAGCTATCCCTAGCCACCAGTGAACTATCGCTAGCCACCAGTGAACTATCGCTAGCCACCAGTGAAGCCACCAGTGAACTATCGCTAGCCACCAGTGAACTATCGCTAGCCACCAGTGAACTATCGCTAGCCACCAGTGAACTATCGCTAGCCACCAGTGAACTATTGCTAGCCACCAGTGAACTATCGCTAGCCACCAGTGAACTATCGCTAGCCACCAGTGAACTATTGCTAGCCACCAGTGAACTATTGCTAGCCACCAGTGAACTATTGCTAGCCACCAGTCAACTATCGCTAGCCACCAGCGCAACTATCGCTAGCCACCAGCGCAACTATCGCTAGCCACCAGCGCAACTATCGCTAGCCACCAGCGCAACTATCGCTAGCCACC